CAAAGTATATTTTATTAGAACAAACTATATGTTGTTCTAACGAAGTGTATTTTGTTCTAGCAAAGTATATTTTGTTCTAACAAAGTATATTTTGTTCTAGCAAAGTATATTTTGTTCTAACAACTATATTTTGTTCTAACGAAGTATATTTTGTTCCAACAAAGTATATTTTGTTCTAACAAAGTATATTTTGTTCGATCAAAGTACTTTTTGTTCCAACAAAGTATATTTTGTTCGAGCAAAGTACTTTTTGTTCCAACAAAGTATACTTCGTTTCAGCAAAGTATACTTTGACCTAACGAATACCGTACAACAAATCACACGATTTTCTTTGCGTTCAGTTCTCAGGATCTCTCATACCCGATTGTCCTTCTAATTGAAAGGTAGCTGAATGTCGCGCGGCGTGCACCATTCAGCACGGAAAGAATCGTGGCTGCGAATTCACGAAATAAATGTTTACAAGTTCACCGTGCAACGCCGCCGCTGCTCGCAACCCGACCGAAACCGATCAGGCCTCTCGCGTGAGGTATTGCTTTGGTGCTTTATGTAATTGCTCGGCTGGAGATGTAATCGCGGCTCGATGGGTCTCGAGATAAGAGCGTAATTAGTGGCCGATGTTAGGCTTCAAGTATAACTGATTTGTACGCTGTTAACTATGCAACTATTCGCCACGAACATCGGTATGCTGACTGTAATCTAGGTCGGAGGTACCGGCAGAAGGATACTCATAATCGTAGCGGCTGATTTTTAACGATTGCTATCAAAACTTATGAGATTATTCTGAGAACAATCCGTCGGAATTAGCGATTAATAATTAATTTACAGGAAGCCTGTCAATACATTTTTCAATGCGGATAAAACGAGCTCGATTATTTTCTTTTAAGTAAGAATTTCAGAAGAAATTTTTACATGATACTAATCCAAATAAGTTCTTGAATTACGAACAGAAATTGCTGTCGCTTTAGAGCTAGTTTTTAAGAAACACCCTTCTGTTGCTCGTCACTTAATTATTTATTTATTTATATATAAGTTATTTATTAGTTATAAAATCACAAAAAGAAAAAAAACACAAAGGTTTAGTATGACTTATAAAAATATCCCGGGAACGGAATATTCCGACGAATAAATTCCTGAACTGATGCTTACCAAGTGTTGTATCCTCGGCAGCTTCGTGATCGCTTTTTCTATCGATGTTTTGAAGTCACCGTTTTCAAGGTTCAGCGCGTCCTTCCGGCAACTGATCTCCGACGACGTGTCCGACTCCTCGAGCACCTGCGCGATCAAATCGTCATCATTAAACGGTGCGATGACATTCGCCAAAAAACGAGAGGAATATACGTCATACTAGGTTTAAATTGAATAATTGAATAATTGAATAATTGAATAATTGAATAATTGAATAATTGAATAATGGAACAATCGAATAATTGAATAATTGAACAATCGAATAATTGAATAATCGAAAAATTAAAATACTAAGACCTTTAAAAAATTATAATTTTTATCAATTATTATAAAGTTTTGATCGTTGCCGACGATTTCTGCTTGTTTCTCTTTCCTGAAGAATTCGTTGCACACGAAATCTCCGAATGCCAACCGTACACTCGAAGGTGCGGACGTCACACATCCTTCCAAATCAACTTTGCGAACCGAAACAAATTGCCGATATTCGGTTCGCCTTCGTCCGAAGACGAAATACGTTTCGACACGCGCACGCGAATTCCACAGATAACGCTGACTCGGTGGTCTTGGAATTATGCAAAACGCTCGGCAAACATCCCGCGACTGATAAAGAAAGAAAAAAAGGAGCGAACGGAGCGACGCGACGTTGACGCAAATCTGCAAGAAATATGCGACTGTTTGCATTGTCGCTTGACACGCGTGGTCTGTCGAACACGTCGCGCTTCTGTTTCCAGACCGCGGCGATTTCGTTCGACGCGACGAACGTTCGATTCGACGTTGAAATTCAGACTGTCGCTTCAAATTCCACGATTTTGCATTTACCATCACGGAATCGTCTGAAATATTTTATGAACGACTAACACGACTAAACGAATTAATATTTTAAATCGTCTAAAAAATTATTTCACATTTCGAGGCTCCGAAAAGCTGTCGTTCAACATTTCAAAAAAAAGAAAAATTCGTCCGACGTCGCAAGCTTGAAAAATCGATTTTTGTCCACGGAATTCGGCTGCCGCGTACCGCGTGCCAAAAAATGACAAAAGCGCGTTCGAACGGCCGAAACCCGAGGCGAGTTCGCCGAAAGCATAATTCAATTGAACGTCTCCGCTATCGGAGCGAAAGGGGGGACGAGAAAAGCCGTGTATTTCGGGTCTCCGGGGAACGTGTTCACGGCCGTCCATTTATCCGGGCCCTTGCGCCATTCTGGTTTTTACGTCCACGTGACCCTTTGNTAATTGAATAATGGAACAATCGAATAATTGAATAATTGAACAATCGAATAATTGAATAATCGAAAAATTAAAATACTAAGACCTTTAAAAAATTATAATTTTTATCAATTATTATAAAGTTTTGATCGTTGCCGACGATTTCTGCTTGTTTCTCTTTCCTGAAGAATTCGTTGCACACGAAATCTCCGAATGCCAACCGTACACTCGAAGGTGCGGACGTCACACATCCTTCCAAATCAACTTTGCGAACCGAAACAAATTGCCGATATTCGGTTCGCCTTCGTCCGAAGACGAAATACGTTTCGACACGCGCACGCGAATTCCACAGATAACGCTGACTCGGTGGTCTTGGAATTATGCAAAACGCTCGGCAAACATCCCGCGACTGATAAAGAAAGAAAAAAAGGAGCGAACGGAGCGACGCGACGTTGACGCAAATCTGCAAGAAATATGCGACTGTTTGCATTGTCGCTTGACACGCGTGGTCTGTCGAACACGTCGCGCTTCTGTTTCCAGACCGCGGCGATTTCGTTCGACGCGACGAACGTTCGATTCGACGTTGAAATTCAGACTGTCGCTTCAAATTCCACGATTTTGCATTTACCATCACGGAATCGTCTGAAATATTTTATGAACGACTAACACGACTAAACGAATTAATATTTTAAATCGTCTAAAAAATTATTTCACATTTCGAGGCTCCGAAAAGCTGTCGTTCAACATTTCAAAAAAAAGAAAAATTCGTCCGACGTCGCAAGCTTGAAAAATCGATTTTTGTCCACGGAATTCGGCTGCCGCGTACCGCGTGCCAAAAAATGACAAAAGCGCGTTCGAACGGCCGAAACCCGAGGCGAGTTCGCCGAAAGCATAATTCAATTGAACGTCTCCGCTATCGGAGCGAAAGGGGGGACGAGAAAAGCCGTGTATTTCGGGTCTCCGGGGAACGTGTTCACGGCCGTCCATTTATCCGGGCCCTTGCGCCATTCTGGTTTTTACGTCCACGTGACCCTTTGTACCGGCGTGCAAGCGAGTTTGACTCGAGATTTACGACCCCGATTTTTACGGCCCGTTGCGCTAAAAATACTCGACTTGTCCCAAATACTTTACAAATCAATACAGCCACGACGCAGGAGGAGCCCGCGGCCTGCATAGGAGGACGCTGACGCGTGTCAGCCGCCACGGAATAATATCTTAACTCCGTCGCGCGCGCGGCCGAAGGACGAACGATGATTTCGTTTGACAGCACGGCGAATGGGATTTTTCCGTCGCGGCGCGGTTCGATTTCAATATTTCCCTTGAAAAGTAACGGTCGTTGTGTTCACCGGCGTCGGCGAGTCACGCGATTAAACGCTTAACGAGAACAATACTGCGAACAGAGATCCTCGCGTTACGCAATCCCGTATTTATTTTCTCATTATGGCCAGCCATTATACCGTCGAATGGATCTAACGATGGGATGTCACGCCGCGTTCCCGCTCAAAGGACGGCGACGGGTTATGGCACGGCACACGGTGGACCCTGGCGATCATAATTGTTGACTCAACGATCCCTGATAGCGTGTCATTGACGCGGCTAATGCTCGTTGCCGGCTGAAAGCTTGCCGAGCCCGAGACAAAGTCGGAGAGCCGGTACAACGAGCGAGAGCGAGACAGAGGCGGTATTTAAAGGGACTGCGATGTCGGCGAAAACGATGATTCAAGAAATACGATCTTATTTGCTACGATCGTTGCTTCAGCTCTTTGATAGCAGCGCCAGTGGATAGCTGAGATTTTTCCGGTTAAAATGAGTACAAACACGACTTATCTAGATCTATTCTTCTAGGCGCAATGCAAACGGAGAGTAGTTTTGATATTTCCAAAATCACTATAGTTTTGAATCAATTCATGAAACTAGTACAACATTGCATGATATATGTGCATGTGTCGATACTAAAATAAAGCGTCGATGACATTTTTTCATATTATTACATTGAATTAGAACAGATATATTGATCGAGTTATTTTTTTGTTCACCCGGTACATAACTCAACGGTAAACCTGGTCTGATTTCCGTCGTGTTTGGACTCGTTTTAATCAGAAAAATCTCAGGAACCTACTGACACCATAGTTGAAAAGATAGGACAAAACTTGCTAAATTTGAACGTGTCATTCTCGCATGATTATTTTTTACGCTCATCTCTTTTGCTTCTCCGGTTTTGTGTACCGAGACAAACAATTTGTCTGAGCTCGAGGGAAGAGTGAAGATGGATCTTGACGAAATTTTGAAATCCAAGTGAGCATTACTATAATGATCATTCGACGTTCATTCGTCGCGAGATCAAGGTCAAGCTCTGAAAAACTGACGAATCGCGTCACGATGCTCGACTTTGTTTATCGACGCCGTCCATTAACGTTTCCTCGTTGACACAAAGCCACTCGCGGTTGCATAAAAGCGTTCAAGAATTATTTTTAAACATTCGATGCAAATGATTGCTTGCATTCTTTTTTTTTTCTTCAAGTCTCGAATGCTTCGACGATACTACCGAGAAATCCGAGGTGAAAAAAAATATCTGCATGAAAAGAACTTTATCATTCACAATTTAAATAATTCGAGTCGACATTAATTCTTCGACAAAAATTCTTATGTATTTTTCTACCTATTCCACAGAATTCTTCTCTCAGAAATAATAATTTATCTTCTCTTTGTTGTCCAACATGGTTATGTCAAGGTTGTGTCATAAGTAGACTGCTGATTTTACGAGAGAAATCAATCAGATACAAAATTGTGCAGACAGAAGAATTTTAGGGTATTGTTCGATTATTTTTAAACCTTTGCCATTATTAACACTAGAACTACGACATTAGTCGAAATAAATTTGATTACTTAAAAATTTGACTTTTTTCTAAATTATATTTTTTATAATAAACTTGATCAATTTTTGTTTCGCGTGAAAATCCACAGAATAATCTTGGACAATTTTTATTTTCCAGCCTAGTCGCAAGAAAAATATTAACGGTCTCTCATTACTTGAAAACAAAAAAACGTTGCTCGAAAGCTTAACAACATTCATTGAAACGCAATGCATCAGCGTCGCTTTGAAAGAACGTGTCGTTCGGCACGTTTCGACTGATTTCAGCGATTCCGTCGGAGGAACAGTCGAATGGTCCCAGCACGCGATACTCCGAAGCTAATCATCGGACCGGTGAACCTGACTTGCGCGCGGCTCCATTCCTTAACCGCGAGATTACACGAAGGAAGGCCCTCTCGGTTAATGGCCGGATGATAAATGCTCCCGGCCGATGATAATCCGCGGGGCTGCGTAACGGTACCTAAGTGGCACCACCATACGATTTGCGTTTCGATTTAGCGATCATCGGCCAGATACGGTTCAGGCCGGCCGCGGCCGTAAATCATCCGATTCTTTTTCTTTTTCTTCGCTGGCAGGGAACGTTGTTCCCCGGTGACCGAAAGGAAACCAAGACGCGGGAATCACGGCCGGTAAAAAATAAAACGGAAGGTTCGAACGGTTCAAGGATATCATTTCGACCATTCGTTCTTCCTTCTGCTCGTTCGGCTCGTTTCTGATTCACTCGGGCGACCCGATTAATGCGCTGCTAGATTGAATTTCGACGAACCCGGGCCACGTGTCCGAGCAAACCCCGACATATCTCAGCCGTGACGGCTTCTCCGACACGTTCGAGCGTGCCGATTATTCTTCGAGGTTCGCCAGCGTGTGCGATTTTTTCTTCGCGATTAATTGCCACCACTTTGCATGTAATAATTATATAAATTGATTAGTAAAAATTGAAAAATTCTCGCAAGAAAAATTAATTAACAAATGCTACTCGATAGAACGGTACGATTTCTTTTTTTTTGTTAAATCTTGTTCGAACAACTTTTGCAACAGTGTAACGTTTCTTTCTTTTTTTAATTTAACCGGATGACTGCGAATTTTATTCATTCATGAGAAAAATAAATTGGTGAAATTTAAAGTGGCAGAAGAATTTAGATGACCGAAGAATACCGATGTACTGTTTTTTAAATTAATGTGATTAAAAGAGGAACGTGAAACGTATTTATCTCGCGTGTCTTCAAATTAAAGCAGACAATTTTGATTTTCCGTGAAGAACCACAGTATAATTATGAACGACTTCGGCGGGTAGAAAACAGCACATTAGATTAGAATAGACCAGCAGATTCCTCGAAGCTTTTCAAGCAACTTTTCCCTTTGCGCAAATCTTCTCCGTGGCTCCGTTGACGAGTTATCAAACGAAACGCACCGACCAATAGCACAGCGCGTGCGGCCGACGCTCCACCCTGCGACACCGCCCGCGATGCCGCAGTGGCCGCGAGGGCGGGACGCCGCCTCGCAGGCGGAGCGCCGACTGCGCTCGCTCTCTCATTGGTCACCGTTCATTGGCGGATAACTCGCGAACGAAGCGTCCGCGAACATTCTCGCAAAGGAAAAAGTTTCTCGAAATCACCTCAGCAATCTCCCTCTCTCAGCCGATGCCAAAAGAAAAATCGTGCGTTCCGGAAGTTCTCGGACACCCAGTACAGTGGCCTCCGCGGAAGTAAAACTGCACCGTGACGCCACGAGCGCGTCGGACCGCGGCACCCGCGTTACAGAGCGATGCGCGGCGAAAAGTAAGGAGGTCACTGACACCAGCCTGGATTCTACACCTCCGCGAACTTTCACGCTTGGAGCCTGGCCACCGAGCCAGCCGCGGAAGATCACCGTAGAGAGACCACTTTCATTCGGCGACCTATATATCGCTGGGTGACGCTACCGCGCCGCGCGCTTTCTACGAAACGGGGCCCGGGGCCCGGTCTGTTCGGCGTGCACTCACCTTACGATTCCTAAGTATCAGTCTTCTGAGAATTAGCCCGACGCCGACGGCGATCGGGAATACGACGAGGGTCGCCAGTATGTAGCTGACCACGGCGACGGTCTCCTGGGACGCGATGGCGTCGCCGTCGTGCCGCTTCGATATCACTTCACTGATATTCACCGACTCCCTAGGACTGACCGAGATCAGCCCGGCCTCGAAGAACGTCCTGTTCAGTTCGTCCGAGTACACGGAGACGTTGTATTCCGGCAGGATCGCGTGGTGATAGACGGGCCTGTGCCTGGTCCGGTTCGATCCTCTGCCGGGGCCCGTCGGCGGAACGTGGCCGCCGGAGGACTCGCGGTTGTCCTCGTGTCTGTCCTTCCTCGTGGTCTCCGTAACGGGCCCACGGGTGGGCCCAGCGGTGGTTTCGTTCGTCACAGTTTTCGCTGTCGTCTCGTTGGCTTCTTCGGTCGTCACGGGGACCCGCGGCTTCTGGGTCGGCAGCTCGGCCCGTCGGTCGGGCCCGAACGTGTGCATGGGCCCACTACCGTTCAAAATATCCGAGTCATTGTACAGCTGCATGATCGGTAGCACGTCGTCCTTGTCCCTCGACTTGTCGGACAGGTTGCGGCCCCTGACTTCCGGCGACCGCTCGCCGGCCAGCCGTTTCCGGGAGTCCGGGCCCACGGTGCTCTCCTCGAACGGCGTCGTCGAGACCTCGATCTGCACGGTGGTCGCCGGCGTGGTCGCCTCACTGACGTTCTTCGACCGGTACATCTTCTGGATCTCCGACGGGTCCATGTTCGCCACCTCGAACGAGCCGGGCCCGTGAGCCCCGCCGTCCGTCAGTTGGTTCGCGTCGCGGCCGGCGACCGAGCCGGTCGCCGGCAAGGTGAAAGTCTCGTTCTCGGCCGTTTCCGCGATTATTCTCGGTGTAACTGGAAAAACTGGGACCGGTGACCCGGCGGCGGTCCCTTTCGGCGGCTCGGCCGTCTCGCCGGCCGCCGCGGCGGTCACTGTCACGGTCGGCGAGCCGCTTCCGCTCCCCGGAGCACTGGCCCCGCTCGCCGGCACGCTTTCCTTTTCACTCGGCGACAAGTTTAATCGGGCCCTGGCATCCGGCTCGGCGGGCCCGGTGAAATTGTCGGCGTCGACGACCGGCTGCTGAGTGGTGGTCGGCTCGGTCGCCTCGACGCTCGGCTGGGTCCTCTGCTCCATCGCGATGCTGTCCGCCGGTGTCCTGTTGCCGATTGTGCTACTCACAGCGGCCTCATCCCCTGGGTCCTTCGGTGAGGTGCTCACGGATCCATTCACAGGGCCCCTCCACGTACGGGGGTCCTCCGGGCCCTTGGCAGCCTTCAGCCTCCTGCCGGAAGCGGCGGGCTGCCCATTCGCCAGCCTCCGCCTCTTAGCCGAGCCGACTTCCTCCTCCTGACCGCCTCCGATGCGCTGGTTCAGCACCGCGCTCGCCGACTTCCGCAGGAACCTCCTGTCCCCAAAGCCCTCTAGGTCTGCGCTCCTGGTCCTAGTGTGATTCCATCGGACGGCGCCCCTGCCGGCCGCTTCCGTTGGTCTACTCGGCCTCAGGCCGCTCTTGTTTACGGTCAGCTGGTGCTGGTGGTGCTGCGCCGGTGCTCCGTCCGCCGCGACTGCGCCTGCTTTCCTTTGCCGTTCCCCCACCAGTGATACGCCAGCCGTAGCTCGACCGGCTGCGACTGCTTCGACGGTTCTGCCGGCACTGAGTTCCGCCGGCGCTCGGCCCGCCTCTATACCACTACCGGCACGAGGAAGCACCGGAGGAGACGGCGGCGGCGGCGGCGGCGGCAGCGGCGGCTGCGGCGGCTGCGCCGGTGGCTGACGGCGCAGCGCCGATCCGGTCGTTATCTCGGCCGCGCCGCCGGCACCTCCGTGCTCCTCTCTGCTTAGCCCAGGTCCGGTGTAGTTGCGCAACAGCCGCGTCACGTTCGTTATCGTGTAAGCGTACACGTGCTGCTGCTGTTGTTCCTGATGTCGACGCTGCTCCCGATCCCCCGCGCCGCCCTGCTCCTTCCCTGTCCGCTGCTTCGGCTCCCGGTGCCGGGGCCTCGTCGCCGTCGTCGTTCCCTCGGCCGCTGCGTCGCTCTGCGGCTCGGCAGCGCCGCTCGCGGCGGCACCGTCGCCGTGAGGCCCACCGCGCACTCGTTTTGCCGCGGATTCGACCGGTTTAACGGTATATCGATCCCCCGGGCCCACGTCGGTCACGATTATCCGCAGCGTGGACGTCCCGGGGGACGTCCACTCAACTCGGAACGGCTCCGTCGTCGGCGGCCGGCCCGCCTTGTCCCGCGACGTCGACGTCTCGATGTTGTTGCTCTCGCGGGACCGCGGCTGCTCCGGGCCCCCCTCCCCCCGCTCGTACACGTCGAACCGCCTTATCTGCTCCGTGTGGTCTCCGTACATCTCCGGGGCCTCCTCGGACCGGGTCCCGTCCGTCGACGAGTTCTCCGCCGCGGCGTCCACGCCGTTCGCCGACGGGCCCGCCGGGGCCCGAAAACCGATTTCACTTTCCCCGACCGGCTTGTCCGCGTCCGCGGAAACTGGCTGCCGGCCCGGTATCTGGGTCGCGGCGCTCCCCGGTCCGCCGGCCGCATTCCGCGTTTCAGCGGCCACGTGGGCAGCGGCACTTCCTCTCTCGCGACGCAGCTGGGCCTGGGCGGCGTGAGCGGACGGGTCCCCGGCCTGACCCGTCCCGTTCCCCACGACCGCGACGTCCGCCGTCGCGATCACGTTCGACGCGATCGTCGGATCCGTCGGCCTGCCCTTTCGGTAGAACGGCCCGCCATCCGGGCCCCTGTACGGGCCCTTCAGCTTCGCGACCTTGGGACTCTGCGCCGACTGTCGCTCCACCGCGACATTCATCTCGTCGTTCGTTTCCTCCAGCTGCGGCAACGGCGTCGTCAGGCCCAGCCGCTTCATCGAGTACCTGCGTCTAGAACTCGTCGCCGTCGTTGGGCCCAACGTGTCGTTCGCCGTGCCGTTTCGCGGTTCCGGCTGGATCTTCTGGCCGAAGTACAGGAACTGAGACATGTCCTCCACCGGGATGTTGCTCTCCACCGGCCGGAAGTAGTTGTACAGAGACTCCGGCATCGACACGATGTTCTTCTTCCGCGACTCCGGCTCCTTCGCCGCTGGGCCCGACGGGGGCCCGATCGTTGTGGTCGCATTTTTTTGTATCGTCGAGGTGCTAGTACTTGCGGCGACGGACTCCGTCGTCGTTTGCCGCTCGGCATCCTTCGTGACGAGCTCAACGGTGGGCCCTGTCGTCGGGCCCTCATTCTCCGACAACGGCGGCTCCTCTTTCTCGCCGCCGGACATCGTCACGTACATCCCGTGCCGCGTCTCCTGCGCCTCCAGCAGGTCTGACGAGTCCTTCAGTCCCGGCTCCACCGGCCTCGGGGTCCGATTCGGGGCCCGGACTTCCAGCGGCCGCTGCCCGAACATCTGCCGCCTTCGCGCAGCCAGGATACTGTGCAGCGTCTGCTCCCGCTTCGCTTTCGACGACGCCGGCTCCGTCTGCAGCGACACGCGACCCTGCCGACCCTCGGCCGCCGGGGAATCTGGAAAAATAGGTCACGGAAGGGGTCAGTTCGACGATCTGGAAATCAGCGTGTCGCATTTCATTCGCGACGAGATAAAAATAACTCGCTTGTTTTTGGCGATAGAAAAAAACGTGTCGGGCAAATGTTGTTCAATTTCGAGGGGCTTGTTAGGCGATATTAATAACTTTTTTTATAGATGGAGGCGTAGTGGACATATGAAGGTCAAACTTATTTTTTCAAATAGGATGACCTAATTTTTTATTGACACTCCGGTAGTGTCTTTCAAGACGAATACAATGGCAAAACAAATTCATTGTAGTTCACACGTTGTGACCTTGAATAGCCTTCCTTTATAAACCATTGTATTCGTCTCGAAAGACTCTACCGGAGTGTGAACAAAAAATTAGGTCATCCTGTTTGAAAAAATATGTTTGACCTTCACACGTCCTCTGCGCCTACAGCTATAAGAAAACTATTGACACCGTACAATGCGCCCCGTGAAAACAAACAACTTTCGGTCGGCACTTTTTCTTCTACTATCAAAAACAAGCAAGTTATGCAAGTTTCTTGTTCCAAACGCCCCGCTCTATATACCGGGTGGCGCATTTAAATCGATCAAATATTTTCGAATTCGTCTACGACGTTGAAAAACGTTTCGAACGAAATTTTAATGGTTTCAGGGGCACGTAATGCGATGCTAGTGAGATTTCTCAAGGTCATTGCCCTGCACATTGTGGCAACGTTACTTCACGTCGCTTTTCACAGTCGCCACTATATCGCTTCGAGGGTCCTCGCATTCGCCGATTACAATTCCGTTCGAGATTCGATAAAAATCGAACGCCCGGTCTTGGATTTGAAGACGGGTCACCCGGCCGGGATTTTCGGCGGAACCGGGGACCGTGCGACCGTCGGTGTCGCGTAGCGGCGGTGTACTGTTTCAGAGATCGTATCGCTGCGCGGTATCTTATTGTTCGCTGCTCGACGTGTATCCGCCGGGACGAGCCCGGCTCGCCGGTTAATTCAATTACACCGCGGTGCTAATCATTCGATATTCCGGCGTCGCCGACGTCTTTATTACGGGCACCGGCCTTTATGCGCTCGTGTTTACGCAGGCATTATAGAGCGATAACGGTGCGCCGTCCGCGGTGTTCGCTGATCCCGATGCGAATAATTGCCGGCGGAACGCCGCCGCCCCGTGTAATCGCGACACGCAACGGCCGCTTCGTTCCGGCACTGTTCGCGAAGGGAAAGTTCGGCTAATGTAAACGGATCTGTAACAATGCGTCGGGAGACGCGGTGATCGCATCGGCGTATCGGACGATTTCTTCGCGTGTCGAACGACCGATCGAATCGAACGGCGACGCTTTTGGGACAAAAGCTTCGTCAGACACCGGCAGATTTATCGTTTCGCCGTATTCCACTGACATTTCGACTTCAATCGACCCTCGCGGCCCATTAATCGGTCGTTGCCGGCTGTTTCTCCTACGCTGTTCGCATTGTGGGCTCGTGGCTTCCGGCCTCGTTCATGCGGACGCGGCGCGCCGCGGTTATGCGAATCGGGAATATACAGGGTGTCCCGTAATTATGTTGGATTCCTGAGGTTATTTCAAGCAACTTTTTCCTTTACAAAAATTTTCTACGAGGCATCGTTCACGAGTTATTAACGAAACAACGCTGGCCAATGGGAAGCGAGCTCGCCTAGCATTAGGCGGCTGCGCCAATCGGCGGAGCCGCGCTTCGACCGCTCGTTGGCTCGGCCGCCTCGCGCGCCAGCCGAGCTCTCCTCTTATTGGTCAGCGTTTTTCGTTAATAACTCGTAAATGAAGCGGCCGATTGCATTTTCTCTGAGGAAAAAGTTGCTTCAGATTATACAAGGAATCCCTCATTTCCGACTATTAACATTATTATGGGATACCCTGTATTTTTACGGGGATCTCATCCGATATTGCCACGCTATTCACATTTTATTTTTTCGACGGTAATGGGGTAATTTTTGTAACAATGCACAGGGTGAATCAGAAATTAGTCACCATTGAAAATCAATTTATTTTTAGATTTGAACTATTGCAATTTTTTGTTGATTAAATACTAATTAACTTTGAGAGAAAATATTTTTTTATCGTATCATCGCAAGAGCCTGAGAAATCGTGGTGACTAATTCGTGGCTCACTCTGTATATTCATAAAAAATATTATGAAACAATTAAATAGCAGTAAAATGTCCAAAAATCTGCTAAAAAATATTGCTAAAGCTTAAAAAAAAATATTGTTAAAAGTCTATAACAATAATCTCTGAATAAAAACAAAGAATATTTCCAAAAAAATATAATTTCTTAAACTATGAAACACAATTAAATGGCAATAAAATATCCAAAAATCTATTAAAAAATATTACCAAACGTTGAAAAAAATCTTTCCAAAAAACCTCAACAATAATCTCTGAATAAAAACCGACAGAATATTCCCAAAAAAGTATCATAATTTCTTAAACTAAGAAACAATTAAATGGCAATAAAATATCCAAAAATCTGCTAAAAAATTTTGCCAAACGCTGCAAAAAAAATATGGCCCAAAAACCGTAACAATAATCTCTGAATAAAAGCCTACAGAATATTCCCAAAGAAATATCTAGATTCTGCACCGATTAAAAGTTATTAAAACGGGGAAAAAAAGCAAGCCCCGTCTTCCTAGTTTCCATAAAAGTTACGCAAGTCGCGAACGATTTCCGATATAGGAAACTGTTCGCAGTNGCATCGTTCACGAGTTATTAACGAAACAACGCTGGCCAATGGGAAGCGAGCTCGCCTAGCATTAGGCGGCTGCGCCAATCGGCGGAGCCGCGCTTCGACCGCTCGTTGGCTCGGCCGCCTCGCGCGCCAGCCGAGCTCTCCTCTTATTGGTCAGCGTTTTTCGTTAATAACTCGTAAATGAAGCGGCCGATTGCATTTTCTCTGAGGAAAAAGTTGCTTCAGATTATACAAGGAATCCCTCATTTCCGACTATTAACATTATTATGGGATACCCTGTATTTTTACGGGGATCTCATCCGATATTGCCACGCTATTCACATTTTATTTTTTCGACGGTAATGGGGTAATTTTTGTAACAATGCACAGGGTGAATCAGAAATTAGTCACCATTGAAAATCAATTTATTTTTAGATTTGAACTATTGCAATTTTTTGTTGATTAAATACTAATTAACTTTGAGAGAAAATATTTTTTTATCGTATCATCGCAAGAGCCTGAGAAATCGTGGTGACTAATTCGTGGCTCACTCTGTATATTCATAAAAAATATTATGAAACAATTAAATAGCAGTAAAATGTCCAAAAATCTGCTAAAAAATATTGCTAAAGCTTAAAAAAAAATATTGTTAAAAGTCTATAACAATAATCTCTGAATAAAAACAAAGAATATTTCCAAAAAAATATAATTTCTTAAACTATGAAACACAATTAAATGGCAATAAAATATCCAAAAATCTATTAAAAAATATTACCAAACGTTGAAAAAAATCTTTCCAAAAAACCTCAACAATAATCTCTGAATAAAAACCGACAGAATATTCCCAAAAAAGTATCATAATTTCTTAAACTAAGAAACAATTAAATGGCAATAAAATATCCAAAAATCTGCTAAAAAATTTTGCCAAACGCTGCAAAAAAAATATGGCCCAAAAACCGTAACAATAATCTCTGAATAAAAGCCTACAGAATATTCCCAAAGAAATATCTAGATTCTGCACCGATTAAAAGTTATTAAAACGGGGAAAAAAAGCAAGCCCCGTCTTCCTAGTTTCCATAAAAGTTACGCAAGTCGCGAACGATTTCCGATATAGGAAACTGTTCGCAGTCACGAGATCGGGTCGAGAGACGGGCCCGTTCGGTCCCATTGCATAGTTAAAATCCTCGAAGTAGCGGCTAATTATCGGAGGCCCGAGGCACGGGGCTCGAAATTTGCATGAGATTTCATGGAAAAATCGGTCGGCCAGAGGTGTCCAGCCAGGCGAGCCAAACGGAACGTGAATGAGAACAAGGAGAAGCGACGGCGGAGAGGGGCGGGGAGGGGAGCAGTCCTCTCGAAAGAACGGGACGCTCATCGGGGTCGCGGATGGCCGGCCGGTCTTGTTATTTTTTTCGCCTTTCTTTTCCCGGACTCCCAGAGTGGCCCTGTACCGTTACTTCACGGTTCCGTACGCGACGAATGTTTGCTCCTTTGCGCCCCGCGTCGTCTCTCTCGTTCGGCCCCGTCACGCCGCGCCGGCGAAATTCTTCGGTGTCACGGTCCGGTCGAAATCTTCCGGTGGAACGCGAACCATGCACGCGCCGGCCAGCCAGATTTCGGGCACCGTTAGGCCCGATCGATCGAGGAGCGGAACTAATCGAACCGGGCCCGGGCATTTTGCAATTAAATCGTCTCGCGGGAACGGCTTCGTTGGTCCAGGCTTGCAGCAAAAAATAATTACGATCGAGGCCACTGCGATTTCAAATAAATTTTCGAGACAAAAACTCGCCCGCGCGGGAAGCGAAATAAATACAAATCGCTCAGTTCACCCTGATTTCGATACATGAACGAATAACGTGAAAATCGAGTCCTCGGAATTTTATAAATCGTCCATAGATTTTTCGAAATTTAATCGGCTATTTTTTATGTTTATTTTTATGTTCATCTTTTTATATATTTTAATATTTTTTATGTTTATTTGTTTTATATTTTTTGTTTATTCTCTATATTTTTTATATTTTGTTATGTTTATTTGTTTTATATTTTGTTATGTTTATTTGTTTTATATTTTTATGTTTATTTGTTTTATACTCTTAATTTTATTTTTATATCTATTATGTTTATTTTTAATATTTTTCTGTTTATTTTTTATATTTTTATGTTTATTCTTTGTTTATTTTTGTTATGTTTTATTATATTTTTATGTGTATTTTTTAAATATTTTTTTATATATGTTTACATTTTTTATCTTTATTTATTTCCGGCTAATTTAATGAAATTAATCGGTTCAAAA